ATGACGTCATCGGTCTCAAGTCTCATATATAACAAGAGTATGTATTATATACAAGAACTTATCGTATTACGAGTGCACAATAGCATTGCGATATCAACTTTATCGAATGTTTTGTAAGTACATATTACGTTTATATAATTCACTTATTGTTGGTGTCGCCCTTAAATATTAAACCTAGCATTTACATTTATTATAAACAACTCTGTATTATTCATGACCATACCTAAAAATCTATTGGGTTGGGACAAAATAAACATGAAGTTTTAAAGAAAACATATTTGTGGGAGTTTGACGTCAATTGAATCTTGTATTAACATACTGTGTAGCACAATACTGTTTATTTATTCACGTGTTATAAATGCAGTGACAACAGCATGGTTAGGTAATGTAACTCTGGCTAAAGGCCTTGTTTATTTGCCTCTGTATATCTTTGTTTTGATTCGTATATTTTTTTTTTGGTTGTCTGATAAATTTTATAAAGTAAATATCGAGCAATCGTAATGGATGGAAGTGGTATTATTAAATTGTAATAAAAAATATAAACATTGAAACATTTTATGTTAGGAAAACCATATTATTACATATATTTTATTTATTCGTAATATGGCGTCACGTGATTTTCCTAAGTGTTTAATTAGTATATCACAATTAATTCCTTATTATGTGTTGCTATCACAAATGGGTAGAGAAAAAACGTACTCGACTGTGCATACTGGCTAATATAAAATCTCTTGTACACATTTCTCACAAAGGATCGTCCACTGACGTAAGACTCGAATGGTAGGGAGAGGTTATGAAAAAAAATTACGAAAAATCACGGGTGGGGAGGGGTAAAATATCACATGTATTTATTTTATGATGTAAAAATGAATAAAATGATAAAGTTTCAACAATCTCCATATTACTTTGCATTAAAATATACACTTTATGTTAAATACCAGAATATATTATTAGAAGGGGGTGAAGGTTAAAAATTTGTTAAAAAACATCACGCGATTTGGGCGGCTCCTAACTGGAGTAAGTATTTTCGAAGCTACACGATTATAAGCTTTATAGCATACATAATTCTGACCGCGATCTCTTCATCTGAATATCAATTGCTTGGCTTTATGTATGAAGTAGCTGTGACGCATTACAATTTAAATTTGTAATCTGTCCTCTCGAATATATTTGAATAGTAAAACGGTTACCTACCTGGCCTACTTCATTCTTATTGCATTTTACGATGTCTAAAACAGTTCAGCTGCAAATTATATAGCTAACAATGGCCATCGTCAAATATAAATGAAAAACCGTTTAAAAACGCATTCATTGTAGGAATTTTATACTTATAAAAAGTTCTAGTACAACAGTTTTATACTTATACTACAAGTCATGACGTAAGGAGTTTCGCACCGATGCAAGTTTGCCCTTCACAGGCCAATGATTCAGCACCATCAAATGACGCGTATTTAACCAGCAAAATTATCTGAAGCAGAAAAAACTAAAAAAGCCATATGCGTAGACGGAACGTTTTTTACGCAATCCGGTTTTCTAAAAAATATTTTTAAAATTTTTGTCGTCATAGCAAAAAAACGTTACAATAAATGAGAATTTAACGACTTTTTTTTAAAATAATCGACGATTAAAAATTAAATATCGATTTTCATCACGTCAGCAATCGGGATTAACTTCTTATAAGAAATGATACTTCTTACGGAAATTAATTTATAAAAAATTGATTTTAAATAAATAATTAACCTAATTCAAGCATAATTTACCGAACCATGATTTATTCCCTTTTTTTGTTTTTCCCTAAAAACTGTTTCCCTTGTATGCAAAAGATAGTAATAAAAGAAGAATGTCCAGAATGTACAATATTAAAAATCCTATGAAGAAAATATCACTCACATAGTCTTTTGAGTAACTACGTGACTTCAAAAATTAAAATGGCTTCTTTATTCGTGACATTTATTCAAACACTCACCCTGATAGCAGCATTTTATATTAATATCACTGTACTTATCATGAATATATCAAATATTTTATATACTATGCAATAAATTATTAAAATATCTCTTTTACACAACACTTTTTAATAAATATACACGCGTCTTGTGTTAGTGCTTGTTGCTGGCGGCGGAAATGGCCGATTTATATCGTATGAGACAAAAGAATAGCAAGATTTTATAAATTTGAGGGTAGTATTAAACTTTGCACAGATGATTTAAAATAATAGAATCGTTTAAGTGTGTGATCGTTGCTCTTTTTTAAAAAATAAATTTTTTTATTACGAATTCAAGAATTATAGGCAATTAGCCAGGAATTTGAAATAATCAACTGTTAATTCCTTCCCTAAAGATTTTCTTCTATGTTATGTACAAATAATGATTTACATCAACACTGTTTGATATTTGTAGCAGCCCTACCTATCGCAGATTTTCGCTGACATTGTAACAAAGGTCATCGACCTTCAACATATCAAAATCTACCTTCCTAAAATCGATTTTTTAATGATATTTTTTTCATAATGCGTAATCACGTAATTTGTCCTTTATTATTCAGGATTCAAATAATCAAATATTTTATAAAGCCTTTATGCCATCTATCTAAAAACCCTAAATTATCTAAACTATAGTCAAATAAATATTAATATCACACTATTTGTCAAAATATAAGAAGTAAATGTCTTTTACTCATGTGTAAATACCTCAATAATATATTGAGCGTCAACAAAGTTAAGCAATAGTCTATCGTGTCTATCAATAAAAATATATCAAAACAATGACTATACCAATAAGTTTTACGATTGATAGTAAGAGGCCCAGTATTTTATTGATAACACATCCTACACACCACAATTATTACTAACTTTTTGTTGTAATATTAAAAACTAAACACCTAATTATGTATTTAAAAAAAAGCGTATTTTTCCTTTAATTAATTCTCAAATAACTATTAAAATTCTTAGGATCCAGTAAATAATTTTTTACCTAAAGAAGTAGAAACTATAGACACTGCCTAAAGACCATCAAGATTATGTAACAAACAACTTTCACTTTGCTTGTATGATGTTCAGTCGAGTCTTGTTTGTAGGAAACAACTCATTATGTATGCCTTTGATAACTTCTTGCATAGCCATATAACACTCTTAATCTATATAATACTGCTATACCCATAGTATATAAATTACAAGTGAGAAGTGTCATTAAAAAATGAAGTTTAAAATGAAAAGATTCTATACAAATATTGATAAAATCATGTTAGAGTTTCTAATTAACATTGAAATAAATGAAAATGTTACAAAACCAAATCAAATTTGATGATTAGCCGGCATTAGTGAGCAATTATGCATTGTGATGTATTATAATTTCTTTCAATAGTTGTAAGGAATCAAAACCTATTAAGAAAATCGAAAAAATCGTCTTGTCACAGCTAAATGTGATAAATTTAAGAATACTGGAAAGATCTACACACTTTTTTCACTAGTAGTCGACGTATTTCCCAAAAATATTATTTTATTTTTCAATTTTACATATGTTTATGAACGGCAGAGAATACAAAATATTAGAAAGTTAGATTTGAAAGCACTTGATTAAAATGTCAAAATTCAGATACATACACATAATTTAAAATAGATGCAATAAAAATTCTTACCTCGATGCATGGTCAGGCGTTGGGAACCTTAGCATAGCAGTAGGTGCTGTAACTCTTAACACTTTCCCTCCGCAGTTATCTGCCAGCCTACGCAGCCTTCGAGATACTCTCTCGGGCGGCTGGTTGATGGGAAGATTTGATACCTCCATCTCACAAGTCGGCTCCTCTTCCTCTGTTTGACTGACCTAAATGATGAAGTAAATTTTAAATGAAATTAGTATTTGCCATTATAGTTATCATACTATCTTTAGTTACTGAAAGTGTATGAGGTTTTAAAGTTAAAGGTATGTGTGTGAGTTTACCTGTCAATACTCATACAAGAGCTTATTGTTATCACAATATGAATGAGATGACAATATATTAAATCAGTGTTTCCACAGAAATCCACAATGACTAATACATAATAATTAAATGAATGTGATCCTAACACAACATAATATTAATATGTAATATAGAATTTGTTTGGACTGTGGATGGACAGTTTTAATATATATTGTTGTACCTTTGGGTTTCTCGGCAGCTGTGCAGTAAGCTCATTGTAACAATAATGCGATGAAGCACATGTAATTAACGCAGAAGATGTGTTCTGTTTGTGCACCAATATCACTTCCATATTTTTCCTGATTAAGAAATACATATACTTGAAAAAATATATATTTTAGCAGATTATTTGAAATTTAGAAATATTTCTTGTAATCTTTCTAACTAAGCTCTAGGATAAGGTCAACAATTTGATCACCCACATCATATGATCAAAGTTATGTTTAACAGAATTCAATGTACTATGTGATCATACCTGTGACGGAAATCTGACAAGTCTGAAGCAAAATTGATATCTCCCGAAATAAGTAGCAATGCCGCTGGAGCTGTGTGTAGCTCACCAAATCTTCTCATACATTGCCTCAGTTTCTCATCGGCCGCATTCTTTTGTGTTCCACACACATGAATAAGGTTTACCTAAGCGCAAATATGATTAACCATAAATCCTCTTGAAAATACTACACCAAAAAAATAATGTTGGTCTTGTGTTTTATGTATTGAAATGTGTCCATATTTCAATCACCTTTTGTGCAAGTCCTTCTGCAGTGGAATCCCACACTTACAAATAATCAAAATATTGATTATTACCAAAAAATACATTAAACAATAAAGGGATTGTTTTTGCAGTATAAGATTTCTTTAATATTTATAAATAGTAACCCAATTTACTTATATATAAATAAAACATTGTTATCTATTGGTTTGTATGATAATGAGCTAGTTATGAAAGATAAGCAGAAGTAATTGCTATTTAACTCCACACAAGTCAATAAACATGATGACATAATAATTTTTTACTATTTAAAATATCATTCCTATTATTTTAAAACAAGCACATAAAAATAAGGCAGTAAAATTATACATTATTCAACACAGTTTATTCTAGGACAAGACTTATGTATTCCAGCATATAAAACATCTTTAATTATATTATGTAAACTGATCTTCCAAGACCCTCTACATGTCATAACAGTGATCTTAGTTAACTGTGCACTTGTTGAATAGATTATTTATTAATACATATTATTTCTTAATTAACAATTACACATATAAATTAAAAAATTGACTATCAAGTTATCTAATCTATATAGTCTTATATAGATATATATTTCATTATATATTTTATTATTCATTAGCTTACTGCCTCACTACATTTTTAAGTAAACACTAAAAGAGATGCTTAGGGTAGACTAAGCATGTCAAGTCAACACCAAGCAATGGTTGTAACCACTAAACAGTTAGCATTATAGTTTTTCAATGTTTTACTTACTTGAGAATCATTTAGTTCTTGTAATCTATTTGCAGCTTCTTTTCTCACATCACATACAACAACAAATTCAGCTTCCCTCCTCCCTGGAAGAAATTTGGCTCGAATTGCTGCCACCACATCTATTGCTGAGCATCCCCGGGGAACCTATTCACAAGAATATTTAAAATCTAACAGGATATTTAATATAACATGATATTCAAATACTACAATAATTGATAACCAACCATTAACAAAGTGCAATAGTGAATTTAACATGTGCCAAACTATGAGAAATGAATTACACTACTATAATGTTTGTTAAACATGTGACATGGTATTTTTAGGGGTAGTTAAATATATTCCTAAGACAGAGGAATTGAGTGACGTAAGAAAAGCATAGCATAGCCCACCTGACAATTTTCAATGTCCCAAAAAATCCCAATGGGCACATTACAACTGCTACGATGCTTGTGGTGCCGAAAACGCGACCTCACCCTGGTTCTCTCAGCCAGAACAACACCTTCATCTCTAGCACCAGTAGTGTTTTCATCCGAAGACTCATCCTCCACGTCTAACATAAATCGTAATTATAAAAATACTGAGAATCAGTATAAGTAACAAGTAAATCAGTTATAAACCTACCCCTGAATTTAAATCTTTAATGAAACAAAAACATGTTATATAGGAAACAGCTCACCTGTAATCCACAATCGAGGAGGAAGTGGTATTTTCATAAGAAGACTAGAACTAACACTCGCCAGTCCTTGAACGGATTGACTCCGTGATTCTTTAAAGCTATTCATCCCGTTACTATGAAAACTTGTGGACAAACTCATTGTTATACATTAAAATATAAACCACGACTACAAATCTTATTCCAATTTGTAGAATACGGAACAAAGCAAGAGTCGAAATGGGGCTACGTGCTTATTTTTTATTGAGAACACGAAAAACACTTAAAATTAAATGAAAGCTTAAATCACTACATATAATTCTTAAATCTGATAGGATTTGCGTCTAACATGTAAAATATTTAATAATACAAAATGTAAAAACAAATCTACACTTCGCTACGCCATTTCCACTTTCAACAGATTTCAATCAAGTGTCGAAAAAACACACTGGTTTGGCTGTCTATGGTGAGAAGTATTGCCAGTTCCTGATCGTAAGTCAAAGAGTATGTAACTAATTACTAGTAAATAACGACGTATGAAATTATGAATCTTGTTGGTATTATTTTCCTTTTTAATAAAGGATGCAAATCGATATTTGTATCAATGATACAAGTATCGTTTTTTTTGCAATTTGTTTTAATAATTACTACTTAAATTATAGTTACTTCTTAACTTATTTCAAAATCATCTTTGCGCCTACTTTAATTTATTAAAATTAATAAGTTATCTATGCTCATTATCTGTCACTGTCACATCTAGTGGAAGTGGATGAGCTTGCATTTCTATTACCGTCATTATTTTACTTTGTTTTAGAGAACAAATACATATTTATAACTAAAAACAATTATCCTACGCTATATTTTAAATTAATCAAAAGAAAGTGTACGTTAGTTATCAGTAATAGATCATATTAAAGTTCTAAAGCTAAAAGGAATTTCTTGTAATTTCTATCTTTCTGTTATAGTAAAAGTCGAAAAATGTCTACAAATACGGGTAAAATTATAAAAATGGAGGTAAGGACAATTTTATAATAAGTGTTTAGAACTTCACTAGGGATTTCACTTCTAATGAATTTGAGGATTTGCAACAAAGCTATATTAGAATTGTCGATACAAAGTGTCATGTACTATTTAAATATCTAGAATATTTTATATACCTAGAATAGAAACTATTATTTGTGACAAACAATCAAAAACACTTCTACTACTACTTTCCAATTCTTCACTTCTCTACTGTTTCTAGGTGGACTATGAAGACATTTGCAACGAAAAGATCCCACTGTGGAAATCATTGGCTTCAAGTGGCAAAGTTCAAGAGGCAATAGATCAACTACTGGCATTGGAGAAACAAACTAGAACAGTGAGTGTTACATTTGGTAACTTAAAGAATTTACTTATGACAATCCTTTAACTCTGAAGAATTTCTGAAACTATTTAAGTTATAAATTATCCTATATTCATCTTTTTTTTATGATATTGCAGGGTGCTGATATGGCATCAACAGCAAGAATTTTAGTAGCCATAGTCCAAATTTGGTATGAGGCTAAAAACTGGGCTGCACTCAATGACCACATTGTTTTGCTGTCAAAGAGGAGGTACGTTATTCTCATAATAAAAAGTTAAAGAGCAGTATTTTGTAAATCACTTATTTTATGTTGTTTTTTTTATCAGGTCGCAACTTAAGCAGGCAGTGGTAAAAATGGTACAAGAATGCTGCAATTATGTAAACAAGACTCCAGATAAAGAAACAAAAATCAAGTTAATTGAAACACTGAGGTCAATAACAGAGGGTAAGATATACGTAGAAGTAGAAAGGGCAAGACTTACCAACATTTTAGCAAAAATAAGAGAAGAAGAAGGTGATGTAGCAGAGGCTGCAAAGATAATACAAGAGCTACAAGTTGAGACATATGGATCTATGGATAAACGCGAGAAAGTAGAATTAATATTGGAACAAATGAGGTTATGCCTTGCAATCAAAGACTACATTAGAACGCAGATTATATCAAAGAAAATTAATACTAAATTCTTTGAGGAGGATGACACTCAGGTAATCCTATTAATATTATAAATACAAAAAATAGATGAATGGATGAGTTAGCAAGTAATTCTAAGATGTCTTTAAGACTAGACTATTATTTATTTTATTTATTTCAAAAATCCATGCAAATGAAGTCATGGGACAAAATTGGAAATTAATAAAGCATTTTAATTACAGGAGTTGAAAGAGAAATTCTATCGTATAATGATAGCGGTAGATCAACAGAATGGGCAGTACCTGTCCGTGTGTAGACATTTCCGCGCTCTAGGCGCTTCTGGTGGGTCTGAAGCTCTCATTGGGAGTGTAGTCTTCCTGATACTGGCTCCTTATGACAATGAACAGGCTGATCTTACCCACAGAGTTAATGAAGATAAAGACCTGGACAAACTACCTGAATATAAGTAAGATTGCCATAACATGTTTTAACTATTAGAAGTAATTATTAATTAAGCTTTTTTTGTGAATGCAAATTAAAAAGTTAGGATCTTTCAAATTATTTAAAAAATTATAATGAGGTTTTAAATTGTAACTTTAGAAATCACTTTTAAATTGTATTGTTTCTTATTATTGCAATATTAGTTTACATGTTAACACAATTTCCAGGCAATTGTTGGCTTTGTTCATCAACCCAGAGATAATAAGATGGAACACTCTCTGCTCCACTTATGAGAAAATGTTGCGCAAGACGCCATACTTTAATGCCTCTGAAGAGAAGGGCCAGGAGCGCTGGAATGATCTCAAGAATAGAGTTGTTGAACATGTGAGTATATAATTCTATAAGGGAAAGTTATTGTCCGACTGCGACAGAAAATACAATCTCTAGCTTATCCAGGTTCGACTGAAAATTTTTGAGTATTGTTATTTGTGATGTTTATATATGATTGTATTGTTGCAGAACATACGTATAATGTCGATGTACTACACTCGCATCTCGCTGCAGCGCATGAGCGAATTGCTAGGTCTCAGCGCCACAGAGACGGAGGAGGCTCTCAGCCAACTCGTCGTCACCGCCGTTGTGAAGGCAAAGATCGACCGCCCTGCAGGCGTCGTGCACTTCAGGTATGTTATTTATACTATTATTGCCACATTTCTCTGGACATTTTCTTCAACTTGTTTCTTTCTATCAAGAGATTTCTCAGTACATTCTTGTTTTTGCAATTTTTCTTCTTTCTTTCTTCGATTAAAATTTATGAGCCGCAGATCAGCATAAAGCTCACATCAATGTACTGGTTCACTGCTCAGCTCTATTGGTACCTGCATAGAGTTACGATTTGCATTTCGAGGTGCGGACTGGAGTCAGCAGGCAGCTCGCGGCTCGTCGACTCACCAATTTAGTTGTTGAGCTGTAGCTCAATGGTTCAAGTTTTATGTGAACTGAACTTTTGAACCGGTACAAAATTGATTCAACGCTGACCTCTTAGCTGCATGGAACTACCATTATTAGGGCATTTGAGACTGATACATACATTGTTCATATTAGTTGTCACACTGGCTAGTGCTAATGGAAAAGGGTTCTTATAAGTTTTTTTTAATGTGACACGTTGTTATAGTTTGAACATGGATTCATCGGACCGTCTGAACGAGTGGTCGCATAACCTGAACACTCTAATGCAGCTCGTCAACAAAACCACCCATCTCATTAACAAGGAGGAGTGCGTACACAAGCATCTGCTAGCCGCTGCTGAGTGAACAAAGTCTATTCCTCATTTACAATTACTATTCTATGTAATAAATTTATTAATAAATGATTACTTAATTATTTGAACTATTTTTTTAACTAAACCTTACCTTAAATGACGATGTTCTGTTTAGATTAAAGAAAACCAAGTTTTTTTTAGTAGGTTTTAATATGTGTTGGCGTTGTTAATATGAGATTAAAAAATGATGTCCTTAAAAAATACTAATTTTGTAATATTTTTTTAAACAATTAGATATAGTGTATTCAGTAGACATAAAGCAACTGATAAGATAGTCAAATGTGAAACACTTTATTTTCTTTATCAATTAGGCATTACTAAGTGGTTTTATTGATAATTTTCATTCGTTAAATAACTACAGCCATGTTTACATTAATATTATCATTCGCGGTGTCTGCATTTGTGGTTATAGTTTTTAAATATTTAAATGCCACACGTAAGCCACCTATTTTAGGTATTTACCAGCAAAGGAATAAAGGTTATTGGCTTAAATTTATTTTTATGTACGTTCTACTCACTGTAAAAAGGGTATGTATGAATATCACAATTACTTTTGTAACATCAACATCAGCTTAATAAAAGAAGTATAAATCTTAACCCACCGGTGTACGGTGAAACAGAACTATTTTACTCTGAAACAGAGCTATTATACTCTAAAATGCAACTATTTTACTCTCAAACATAACTATTTTACTCTGAAACGGAACTGTTTCACTCTAATATAGATTTTTTACTATAGATCCATAATCTTTTTGAATTTCGTTAATAATCGTTTATTTCTTGCACGAGTTCATTTAATTGACTTATTTCGTGGACACTTATCTTAATCCTATTGCTTAATAACATTGAAACTGTTGCAGCTGATTAACGAAGGCAAGCGTCTCTGGGCCGTGGAAGTGGGCCAGAGTTCCAACGGCACCGAACAAGTACATAAATATGATTCGAATTTAGAACAAAAGTATATTTTCGGTGACCATCCTAAGGTAAAAAAAGCTTGTAATATGATTTTTTTGTATTTACTACAAAACCAAGTAATGAAACTATTAGTTCTAATGATACGTACGTGATTCTTTTTTCAGGCAGTAGATGCTGTTTACTTCAATGGCTTGTCAAAAGATGGATCCGCGGTCGTCTGTGGGCTAGCTCGTAGACCTAACCATTATTGTGACGCCTTTTTGTACCTAAAGGTTTGTACATACTGTCTATAATTTTGGGGACAAGTAAATCTATTCATCGTCCACAGTACCGTAATGACTTTGTCTCATTTCTAGTGCGATGGTGAAGATCTACTTCTGTCTCCGAACCTTCCGGACACGCACCTAGAGCAAACCGAATCTGAACAAGAAGAGTACAGTGTGCAAGGAATCAAGATTACCAACTTCATGCCAATGCGCACATGGAAACTATCTTATACCGGCGAAATGAAGTACTATATTAACTATGCTATAAAAAAAATTATATACCTTATTTTTTAGCTCCCTTGTAGAAGAATCCAACAATCTTGATAAACTCGTCTATTTATTCCTTGCATATTTTTAGATCGAAATCCAACCCGGATAAGCATGTGAAGGTGGAAGTATCACTTACATGGAGCGCAGCATGGGCGCCGTTTAATTATGATGCGCACATGTCCCCTTCCAGCATGGCCGGAGACCTGGCGAGAGAACCCTGGTCCCGGGAATACTTCACACTATTAGAGAAGTTAGTGCCTAGAATAAGGTGAAGTAGGCGTGTCTACGACTTAAATTCTACCAAATTATAAATTGTTACAGACTGCATCAAACACATTATGAACAAATGGGTTATATTGGAGGTATCGCTGTAATCGATGGCAAAGAACATTCGCTGGATATGCCGTGTTTGAGAGACCGTAGTTTTGGTAAACAGACTATTCGTGCAATTTAATTATATACAAACTTCACTATTTTTTTTTTTCAGAAAAATTCATTTTAAATACAAATTTTATTATATTTTAGGACCGTTACGTGAATGGCGAAACTTCCACCGATACGTTTATCACTTCATGTTCCTTGAGAACGGCGACTGCATGGCGGTGGGCAGTGTGTCCGAGCCCACTGTTTTATCTCAGTAGGTTACATTACTGCCACACACACAAACTTAAGTGGTCACTCAGTATGAGAAATTTACATTAAGTGTCTCTTATTATAGCTTAACCTTGATTATACTTTTGTCAAAAATTATCCAGTTTTTCTACTTAATTGGTGTTCTAATGTGTCTAAAATAGATTTTTTTATAATTATTGTCCTGGTTACAGTTTGACTATTGGGTATTTGTGCAAGAAAGCAGATCAATCAGTGTTGCCAGTTGACTTTTGCGACTTTCATTTGTATCAGCACGCTGAAAATGAAATACTGCCCAAAGACTACGGATTTGTTTTCAAAAGTGGTAAGTAATGTTTAAAATTGCATTTAACGATTATTTTTGCTAAGGCTTCAATATCTTTTTGCTTGCATCATGTTGTTTTATTTGGTAAATTATATATTTTTTTAATTATTGCTAATTCTCAGGTTGCAAGTCGTATGCTGTAAAAGTTAAAGTGAACGACGAAGATACATTTTACATTGGCAAGGATAGAGTTGCAAAATTCTATGAAAGATGGTGCTCCGTTGAAGTTAACGGAATTCGGGGCTGGGCTTGCGTTGAGTGGCACTATAATAATGTGCGGAACTGACACAAAAAGTAAATAAATCTGTAAGAAAAAAAAAACATTATTTTTTTTAATTTTTTCATATGTTATAGTCATCGGAGTTAAAGATGTTTACAAAATTTTAGATCAATATTTAACGCAAACTGAGCAAGTTGAAAAAATAATTTAATAAGTTATAGTAAATACAATATGAGACAATTTATCTTGCCATTTTTCCAAAAATGTTTAATGAGGTCATAGGCGTGCCATCATATTATTTTGACTTTGTTATTATTATTTGAAACATTTCTTTCGTCGTTTCGCTACTCATATGTATAACCTACTTTATATTTTTTATAGTGCTAATGAATTTTATGATCAATAGTGTCCAAAAATATTGCATCGTGTGCCATTGGTTCGCCATCTTATACATATATAGGGGGTGATTAATATCAATAGTTAGTGGAAAGTTTTGTATATTTATTGTATTGCAATATCAACTAAAATAGAAGACATGTACTAATTTATGAAGCGTGAAAACTTACTTTATAATACTGATTGATAAATTTTATGATAGTATATAAATAAATATATAACAGTGAGACACTTTCGATACATTTGTCTCTGCTAAAAACAAATACATCATGATTCAAATTAACTTTTACATTGATGAAATTTCATGATAAGTTTAAACATTTTTTACTGTATTTTCACAACTTTTTTACACTAATATCTTCTAATGTCTTTTTTAAGATAAATTACATAAAAATATGTATAAACACATCACACTAGACGACAACAAATATTAATTTAATCTAAAAAACACAGAGAGAATCAAATCTAACACAGAAAATACATATGTAAATGAAATACATATCTAGTATATAATATTAATGAATAATCCACAATTACAGTGAAAAACAATACATAATGCTTAATACGCAGTATACAATACAATAATTGTTATCAATTTTTTTTCTTTACTTAGTTTGTTTCAAATTTTAATGTCTATTACAGAACACTTATCTGTCAAATTATGAATTCTGATGCCTTCAATACATCGTTTAATACTTTCTGTAAGCAACTGAGCCTTATATATTATAATATCATTATATTTATACTAATCTATAATAATAATTCTGTACTACACAAGTACATTTATATCTCAAAAATAGTTTATGAATTTTAGCGAGAAATGTTTATGTAATGTTATTTAGATGACAAACCAGATTTGTATACAATAAAATATACACGCGAATTAAGGTCCATATTAATTAAATCCGTAGATCACAACTTCTAATAAGCGATGATCTTATTCCGTTCCGACACACGGAGGAAGACAGCAGATTTCTTATCCCGAATAAAGTTGAGCTTTAAACGAATGAGACTAGGTTTAATTTTACTTTGCAAAACTTTTCATATCAAGAGCAAGCGTAATTTAAACTTTGTTTCAATCACGTAAAGCTTAATTTTATTTGTGATGAGAAATCTGCTCTACTCTTCTTCCCGGTTTGTGTGAACGGACCTAATCGTATTACCGGAGAGACATACAATCATTCATGTACATACAAATTTTGAAATAATTTCTACAAATGGATACGCATTATATACAGTCATATATTACGGAAGACACAAGTTAATTCAATTATACTTGTACATTTAATAAAGTTGCTGTCTTTGTATACAATTTGTTATATGCATTCCCTATTATTTTATTATGGCAACACTGTATTAAAAGCGATGGTTTACAAAAGTATTGTTTAAATTCTGTATTAATTTATGTTTACCTACTATTCACGAATTCTTACTTTAAAACTATTTAACAGTTTCTCTCGTATCCATTTCACCTAATTGAATTTTCATATTGACTTGGTCTTTTTATTTGTATTTTATTTTGGATTAAATCGAAACATTTTTTGCTGTAGCTAGATTTCTTATACTTTACTCTAAATAGAAACTATTAATAGTATAAATCAAAATATCCTAAATAATAATATCTTTGAAAAGACATAGAATTTTGAAATTAATTCAAATATACATTTAGTTAAGTATAAGTCACATGAAGTTTGTAAAAAGAATTAAAAAAAATAAAGTCTAAGTTACTGGCCACATAACTCGTCTACTTTCCAGTAAAAGTCTCGTCAAAATCGATCCAGCCGTTTCGTAGATAGATATTTATATTTTCAATCCTACTTTTACAATTTATAAATTAAAAGCTTTTGCATTTTGACTCTACTATATTTTTTAATTTTAGGGGAAAAGACAAGACGTATTTACATTATGTTTTATACAGATATTGTATAGATATTTTAACTTACAAAGGTTAGTAATGTGTATAGTGCTACAATGTTATCTGGCCCGATGAGACGTTGCTAAAGCAGTCAGTTGTGCCAAAATAACATGACAAGACAGTACGACAAAGATCATGTGACAAATTTTTGACGTTTGGGGCGCTAATGAGCTATTTAAATTTAATGTTATCTATGCCTACCGGGTCAAATAACTTTGTCGGTCTATAAATAGCATAAATATATAGCTTTAATTTAGTACATGATACTTGTTCTAAATATATTTAAGCGCATAAAATTATGAATGCACCTCCATAAGTTAAAACATCTTTGGTAAGCGTCACATAAACTATTAGTTTTACAATTCCTCGCACCCTCTTTAGTTATTAAGAAATGGTCAAATAAAATTAGTTTAAAATAATATAACGCGGTAACAAATCGACAAATAACTTATATATTTTGATACATATATTAACATATATAAAAGTAAATATGTTATGGAATGAACATCAGACTAGAATCAATATAAATCACAGCACCTACATTAGTCGGGAACATTCACAATACTCCCCAAAGACGGTAAAGTTAAGGCAGGATATTAAGTACTGTCTGACTACGTGTTTGACTAGTTTACAAATACACACATAAACTATGAACTTTCTCATTTTCACTAACCTACTAAGGATTTCAAATAAGAATGTGCCAATGATTTTTTTTTCAAAAATCGCTAGAGTAGCAGTCACATATTGTAACAAAAAAATATTTTAGAGTAAATATTTTTTGATTTTTTTTCTATCGGTTGTGAAGACGCTGTTTAATTTTTTTTATATCCGTGGGTTCATGCACATTCTTATATGAGACTTATTGTACTCGAAAGACATTCAAAGAATTGTTAAAAAGAACAAATTTCATATAATTTTTTAAGAATATACTAAAACACATACTAAGTACATAAATATAACTACAAACACATAAAAGCACAAAAAATTAAACTTTCCTTATTTTTTTTTTGTATTTTTTTGTTATAAACACAGAGTATTTACAAGAAATCAATTACTTGAACATTTGTCAAGACATGAAAAAAAGGATTTATACATTTGCCTACTACCCATTTTGTTCTTGCTTTTTTCTTCTCAATACAGAAATAAAACGAAAATACATCACCAAAAATTTTGTAAAAAGTAATGAGTTGATAAAAAAGTAAGCAATTTCAACTACTGAATTCAAAAAATGTTAATCTTGGTAAATATCTATTGCACACAATTTATTTAAAACAGGACTAATAACTAAATATACTAATAATACTACACATTGATTTTTCATAAAAGATGAAGAAAGTTATATTTTAAGTTGCTTTTGTGAATATTAATTAATAACTATAATCTAAGACTTTTGGAATACATTGACTAGAGATGTCTTTTACAACAGCACAAACTATAAGTTGTACTAAACGGAATTAAAATATTGTAACTTTCTTCTTTAATGATATAAATTTTATCTTTGAAATAAACATAAAATACTCTATTTCTGAAAAACCATAATAATTTGTAACAAAAATAATAATAAGTCAACCTTACACTTTAAAAATATAACAATAACAAAAATAATATTCAATATAAAATAATAAATAAACATCCATGAGATATTTCAAAAGGTTTGCCAGCCCTGGGTAATGTGTACACACGAGTAGCATAGATGTGTGCATAATTGCTGATACCGCACACATTGCTCGGAGCGCTCTCATTGGCAGTCGCTTACGCACTCACGTGCACTTATACATGTATGCAAACACAAATATAACATGGCTTATTTTCCTTAATAAGTTACAAACATGAGGTTCACAATTTCAAATTAATACTGATCAAGTAATTTTTATAAAATAACAAAAGTATAAATATACCACTATGTCACGATTTTAAAAATGCTTAATTTTGATTGTATATAACAATATACCTGATGTCCAATCATTAAAATATTAATAAACAAAATAATTTATCATTTTTAATCAACAAATTTATCTGATCATGGTGGTCATTTGTACCAATTCACATACATTTCACTTGTTTCCAACAAGATTAATATTTCGAATGTTCGTATTTGTACGACTAGTTAAGCAATAAGAACATAAACAAAACAAAGAAAAAGTGACTATTGTATAGCACATACCGCGGAGGTGCCGGGCGCGTGGTCGAGCAGCGCACGTCGCCGCTTTATACCTTCCAGGTATACCTCTCTATTGAACAGACCGGCTGCTAAGGGCACTCTGGAAATAAGAAAAATTCTCGCTAACATCTATTTAACAAAAAAGAATTTCCCTATACCATCTTATGTGTTGAACTACATTTAAAGAATTTATAAAAATGTTCAAAAAGCCATTTCGAATACCCAATTGGATTAATTTTCATTTCGATTTGATGAATTTAATTTCTCATTAGGAATAAAACATACCATTTTTAATAATAAAAATTTAATAAAACAAAATAAATAGTGTACTAACACGTCAGTGCCGGGTCGCAGAGGAGCGGAGAAGAGCGCCCAAACTGGCTTGTGGTCGCTGGTGCACACCGACTGTGCGGAGTTGTACGCCAGGCAGCGCAGCCCCGCCCCCGACACCGCACCGCCGCCCCCGCCTCCGCCACCGCCTCCACCAACACTTGCTGCCGCAGTGCTGATGCGACGCAGACCTGCTAACGTCAACAATTCACTCGATTTTGCCAAAAGCCATATAGCCATACATGCCATTTTGGCAAAATCGCCGTTCGCTATAAAGGGGCGTTTTGCTAAAAAAAATAATATATATTTTTTTAATAACAGTGTGAAACCCTTTTCCTTGATTGACCTTACTATTAAAATCCTACATAAGTGCCAAAACATCTTGGTAGAGGTATTAACTTGCAAAAAAAAATTGAGTGCACTGTAATTTTTTAGAATAGTTACCGGAGAACGCGGAGGATGTGTTGGAGGCGCTGTGCGGGGTGTGCGTACGCGCCTTGTACAGTATGCGGTCGGTGTAGGCGGGCGCGCGCTGCTTGCTAGACGTATCAAACTGCTGGCTGCCCGGGTCGTACTGACAAATGATGAACACAAGTTTTAAAGTCCATAAGAATATTTATAATTTTAACATTAAAATCAAATCTGCACTAACTTTGTATGTTGGTGGAAATGTGATAGGTGCCTCTCGGAAATCCCGAAAAGCAGCTCCGTCCTCCAGCACTGCGGTCAGCTGGTCCGCGTGCAGCAGACCGTGCGGTAGGTACGCGGGCAGGGGAAACTGCAAAACACATAAATAGACCAAAGATAAGGGGATGGTCTTTCAATCATCCAGTTGTGTGTTGTTAAATGTTAGTAAATAATTTTTAATAATCACCTCAGTTTGTTCAATCCAGCGAAGCACAGCAGCGCGGGGCTCTCCCAAACGAAAATTGAGGTCACCGCACCAAAAAACGTAGTCGAAATTGTTTGTTACATCTAGAACGATAAACAAAAACTTTGAGTATCCATGTAATAACACTCTGATTAAGAATACGAAATGAATTACACCTCAGCTTTTATAAGTTGTAAAAGCTATTAACACAAATATAACAGCACAATGTTACTCTCCTATCAAATAATACAAAAGTAACTTGCATCAACTAAGAGCTGACCTAAGGCAGATCAAATGCAGATAAATAATTATAAGAAAACCAATACTGACCTTTACTTCTATGCCTGCATGGTAAGTTTTTAGGTAAATCAATAGATCTGATGATTCTTTTGATATCAGACACTCTTTCTTTAACTTTTTCCTGATGTGCAGTGAGATGTGCGGTTACAAATAGGAAAGTGGAACCAAACAAGGCGAAGGATATCGCCACAGCACCCTTCGTACGGAATGCTGTGCCTGGCCGCACTGACAGACTTGCGTCTTCAGGCAGAGAACAAAACCAAATCAAATCTCTCCTTATAAATATTGTAAGAAGGATTGTACCTGAAAAATAATATTTGAAAATATGTATGTATTGTTATTATGTATTATGTGTTTACCTTAATTTTGATATTATTTTACATATTTTTTTTACCCAAATAATAAGAATGGAGTAATAAATGTGATGGTCCCAACACTTCTTGTATTGTTATTTCCCACTCAGTTCGTTCTGAATAAGATTCTTGAGTACCAATAGCAAAGATGTCTGGTACATGTTTCACTTGATTTGGAAATATAAAATCTGCCAACTCGCTGTAACAAATTAATTATTGTTTTACAAAAATGTTTCATGTTTCAATGTGTTTTTTGATTTTCTATTTACATATGTACATTAATACAACATTCTTATGGTGAAGGAAAACATTAGGATGCATTGACTATGTCCTAGTCATCCTTAACTTAGAGTAAGCTCCAAGCCCCTCAGTGTGGACATATAATAAGGTGATGATAAAATGTTGCGTCCAATGTTTTTGTCAATCATGTACCTTGGTGGCGCCTGTCCATTCATGTTCCATGTTCCAACAAATATTTTAACCTCTCTATCAGGAAAGACATGTTCCAGCTCTGCAGCCCCCAGCAGGGAATGTGATGCCAACCTCCCATACAAATAGTTTCTATAACATTAGAAAATCAAGCATGTTTTGAACAGTTAGTATATTGGATATAAAGCAGTATGTTAGTTCAGCAATAATGAGCTAATTGGCATAGTATAAGGCAATATGGCAATATGAATTATGTCAAATTTTTCAATAACTCAATAATATTGACTTAATGTTTTCACCAAGAATAGTTGTTTTATAAAAATAATTTAGAATGTAACAGTAAGGGCCGAGGTAGTAATAACATAAATAAATAGAATTTAGTAACCTTTCCCTAGCCTCCTGCGTAGGAATGAGCCGCAGCACTTGTGCAGCGAGTAGTGAGTTGCGAGCCAAGCTGTCAGTGCTGCCAGCACGAGAAGCAGACCGAGTGATGGTTGATTTAGTCCTAAATGCAACATGTACAACATAAACATCACCAAATATTTTTTTTTTAGTGACAAATGGAAAGGCAGCTTACCTTCTTTTACGATCCAATGAACTGCTTCTATCACTCTCTGGAGATGAGGACCGGTATAGAGGCTTAGTGTCACTAGATATCAAGTGGTCAGCTGACAAACGCTTAACAAATAATTTGCTTTTCGGTTTAATGCCCTCCAATGAACTTGTATGTTCAAAACAATTATCATCACCATTACTATTAGGAAAAATGACTGTAGCTTTCGGAATTTCATCGGATTTTGATTGAGTGCCAGATATTGTTTGATCACTAAAACTGTTACTAGAATTATTCAAAGGACTAGGTGGTTTAGAATTCGAACCGTTCTTTGAACTAGGCCCATCCGCCAAGCTTCTGGGCCGTGATTTTCTGAAGAATGTTTTACAACATTTAGGATTATTTTCATCATCGATGCTACAATTGTCACTACTTTGGTTTATACTGCTCGTATTTAGTTCTACACCTAGATTTGTTCGGTTTGTCTTATCTGTGTTCAGGTCATTAGACTGTGCACTCTGCGCTAGGAAAGGATCTGCTGGAGACATCGGACGAGACGTAGACTGACTAAATTCGTCATTGGAATCAGTATCAACATAACAGCCGACCCTTGGTGATTTCTTAACAAATAAGCGTTTACGCAAAGATAATTTTTGTTTGGTCCTGGTAGGAGAAGTTGTCATGTTTGGTTTGAAACCAATAACACTAGTAATTTAAGTTACAATTACATTTTTTACTAATAATAGATAACTTAACCTATAACTATAATAACTTCTCAATATGACATTTTACGAATAAGAAATGTCAAAGTTTTTTTATTGATACGTTCAAAATTTTATTACATGAAACTTTCAGTAACATTATTAATTTTTTAAAATAATAAAACCAAGTTATCTAAAACACGTCAAGCTCTACAGAAATTAATCTGCTGACAAACATTTATTTGTCATGCACCATCGATGTTACCATGACAACTTTGGACACCACACAAGATATTGGCTAAGCGGGATACGGGCAATTCAGGTTTAGGTTGAAATCAAGTTTATACGGTGGTTAGCAAGATGAAAGAATTATAAATACATAAAATGTGTACTGTAATACTTGATCGTATACTACGCATCAACTAATTTATAAAGGGATTTTTTTTTTACCTTTAAGGACATTAAAAACAATTACAAATATATTTAACGAATATGCATAGAAATTTTAATTATAATTTATTAAATACAAAAACAATGATATTATCAGTAAGAAAATATTATTCTTTATAATTATTCCTTTCCCAGTACCCGGCACGAGTAGATTTACCCCATTATATTCAGGGGTTGGAGACAGACTACCACCGACGACTGACTGTATTCCGTTGCCTGAAATATAAAAGTTGTAGTCTAATCACACACAGATACGTCCAACCGTGCTTCTTATTTTGTTCCCCTCAAGTTGATGAGAATAGTGAGAGGCATCGTTTAAGTATTATAATAATTAATCTGAAAATAAGCTCTCAGACACTTACCAATATTACATAGGTCATTGGTGCAGGCGCGATAGTATGTTTTGAACGTTGGATCAACAACTTCATGATTAAGAAAATCAGGTGATTCTTCACAACCCCGGGTAAAACTTGCAACTACTCCGATTGGATCCTGTAAAAGTAATTGTTAATTATCTACGAACTAATTTATACGCCATGCAAATAAAAAGTAAATATTTAAAAGCGCCTGCAAAAATAAAATACAATTAGATTTGTATGCTGCTTGATACACGAAACGCTTTGTTTTTCTATAGTAAATTTTAAAAAGAGCAAGGTTAAAATCAATACAGAGTTCTTGTACTCACGATAAATTCTTGGCGCATTATTGTGCAATACGTGAAGCGGCAGTCAACAGAGGGCGTGGAGTTTGTTATAGTCAGACAGGACTGATCCGAGTCCACCGAGGAAAAACTGCAGGCGTAGCATCGTAATTGAGCTGGAAAAAGAGAAGAATTACAACTTTTTTAAAAACTTTTTATTCAGGAAAAATAGGTGTAAAATTCGTATAATCCATTTACTTACCGGTTGTCGTACCAAAGACACAGAATAAAACAAACAAACCAATGTTGTAAATCATTTTCTATGCATTGTTTGTTGTTCACGACACAAAAGTATTTTTGCTGACTAGAAATCTGACCAATCAATTCTGTATTACTCATTAAATACATATCTTATCGCCGTTCTTTCATTTGTTGTGTTTATTATCATTAGAGATATAAATCCATTGATCTCTGCCTGATAGTGCCTCGAGGTCCTTATATATTCTAAATGGTTTAAAAGTCTTCTTTTAAGACTTAAATATTATAATAAGCACATATAATGTTTCTTTATTTTCGTGGTTAAAGTAGTATCCTTTCCAGTAATGTCTTTTGCCGTTTTTACCAAGAACGCATTAAGGGCGTAGTTTGAAGGCTTCAAGGTAAACACGATAACTATACTAACACGTTGAATTATCAAACAAAATTAAAACGCTTTCCTGACATATTTTTTATTTGATGAATAAGGAATTATTAATAAAATCAACCATAATCTTATATATAACATTCTCGTGGCACAATTTTCGTTCCCATACTCCTCCGAAACAGCTTGACCGATTCTCATGAAATTTTGTGACCGTATTGAGTAGGTCTGAGAATCGGCCATCATCTATTTTTAATCCCGCGCGGACGGAGTCGCGTGCGACAGCTAGTTGGAACATAAATTTAATGCTAAAGCAAAACAACAAGTTATTTTTGTCATCTCTATTAAGGTGATGTATCCAAAAAAGGAAGATTTGGCAACTAGGTGTTATTAAAGATTGATTTATTTCAACAGATATAACTTCACGATGAAAGCCTTCGGATAAAGTTAAAAGTCAGTGGGTGAAGCGAGTAAATACTAATAAAATAAATGTATTGTTAGTAGGGCAGAGTTTTCTGCGTTATTCTATTATCTACATACTTTGTTAGCCTTATTTCGGTTCACTAATATTTCTATAATTAAAATAATAATGGCTAATAACATTCCGTAGATAAGTGTGAGTACGGCCGGGTAAAAGTCGACCATTTTAACAGACCCAAAGTTACCGCCTTTTACGTTACACGTAGGCTTCGATGAGTAAAGTTGTTTATTAACACGCAAGTTGAGTCCATGCTCCTGACTTCTGAGCGATCTGTAAATGTAAGTTATGCATATATTTTTTTACTTCATAGAATTATTTTTTTAATGTTGTGCTTGTTTTTATGATGGTTAACCTCAAGACTATTAGTCAGGTTTTTTAAGTAATACATCGTGTTATTATTTGCCTTTAAGTTGTAGGTTACCTTTTTTAATCAATTCTTACCCAATTTTAAGAATTTCCCTATAAGGGGAATCTTTACGGCAAGTTTGCCAAGGCTTAGTATTTGGGAAATAGGATATTTCTTGAAGACCACATTTCTCGTGGTCATAAAAATATTGGTCCACCAATCTATATCCTCTGCCAGTGTTCATATTAAAAGCAAAAGGCTCCTAAAACAAGTAAAAGCAACTCGGTAATTTAATTTGTACACCCCCCATTGAATCCACTTTCACATAAATGTTAATTTTTTTTTAACTTTATGGTGATATAAATAAATGTCAACCTTCTGAAGTTTGCGAACGCCGTCCTCTAATTTCATGAAGTTAGGTTTTGATCCACGGGGTGCTATCTTATTTTGAAAAATCGCTTTTTTAACTGGCTCTGTGGCTGCCTGAAACATTTACTACTAGTCAGACAGTTTGAAATGTACCTCATTATTTTATATGTAGTAATCATGATCGCCTTTTTCAACTCGAAATAAGAGTAAACTTAAACTCTAATTTCATATACTACTTCTAATTCCTGAATCGTTTATTAAAACAGTTTAATGTGTACCGGGAAGTAGTGCCTATTGTACGGCGTGTCCTCTGCACCCAGCTCCAATCTTGAATCGAGAAGATCCGACAGGGTTCGGATAGCACTCGAGCTGGACTGCAGCAGCGCAACGATGCTTGCCGAATACGACGTATACAGAAACACGAATGCCAAGAATAGAATGAACATAACGCTGCGACCCAAAGCGCCTGCAGAAATATATACGGCAAAAATGCACGATAAATATTTGTTGGATGTGTATTGAAGCTAAAGGTTTAAAATAGAATGTTTCAATCATATTAGGGTCACGAAAGGGAAGGTATTTATGAAAGGTACTAAGAACGAAGAAAGTAATGTTGACGATTACAAGCATAACGAAAGATCAAAAAATGTAGCGTCCGTTAAACATCGCAATGAAAGATGGATAGAGTTAGTCAAGTATTAATGTACCCAGCCCACATAGCAGGAAAGAGATGAAACATACACGCCGGAAAATGAATATGATAAATATTAACACAAAGAACAGCGTGAACATCATGACCCAAAGCGTTTGTACCAAACTATATACGACAGACATACTTAAGCAGTAAATGACAAACGCGTCGTGCATTTCAATGTCTGACCTTTGAGTTCCGTTGAACTTCCTTGCTGCGATATTGCGCTCATCACCAATATGGCGATGTCGCTTATGTTCGGCTTTAATACTGAATTGTCCAACTAAAAAAAACTCAATTTTTTGTTTGAAAATTACATCTTCACGTCTGATCCTGTATATATGTATCTACTATCTATTCATATTTAACATGTACAGATTTTTGCAGATGCACTTTCTTAAGTTAGCAAAATAGTACCTATGTTTTGTAATCTAAATATTATTGATCACAGAAAAAATTACCATATCTTCGTTTTGCGCTTTGATACACTCCCATCTTGCATTGATGTATAAAATGAATATTAAAATAAACACAAGAGCGATGATACAACACCAGACGATTGGCTTGAATGGAAGCAGGAACAGATTGTGCTGGTAGGAGAGAGCTGGCTCGCGGAACACAAACTTTACAGACAACGAGCCGGGGTAGTTCATGTAGTTCAATACAGACAATCGTTCCCGCGTTATAAATATTAACGTGCCTGAAATATTATACATATGATATGAGTATATATAATAAATTAATTTTAAAAACTTAAATGTATGGATTGTTACATCTCACAGACCTCCCAGCTCTGCTTCGCCCCGCGCCATCTGTCCCACCATACCGTTAAATGTGCCGTTGACTAAATAGCCCCATGTATCCGCGTACATAATCACTTTAGTTGCATTTATAAAATCATAAATAGGCATATACTGACGAAAACTTGATTTGGTCAAAGTATCTCTGTGAATATTCCTGTAGATGATAAAATAAGTTTAATTGGTAATTACTTTACTAAGTTTGAATTTAGAAGTTAGTCTAACAATGTCATAAATGTATTATGGCGTCACACTTCAGAAACTTACCTCATATTATACAATTCTGATTTAGTTCTATTATCAGTTATTATTGTGGAAATCGTGATAGGTTCACCTCGCAAATCTTTACGCCTTATCGCAATAGACATTTGCATCTTGATTGATTTAACAAGACCGTGTTTTTGATCCCAGCTGCCAAAGTATTCTAATATCCATTCATTGTTTTTCTGTTTAATTTTATATGCTAAAATATTTTCCAAGGAATATACAGTAACGTTTCTATTTTTCTTATAAATAAAAAAAAATTATAAAACAAACAGAAGATAGCATAAAAAGTGTACTTTAATAGATTGCTTTAACTATTCGTAATATTGTATGATTTTAGGTGATAATAATCTATGTAAAATTATAGTATATTTTCAAGAATAATCTACCTTAAGGTAAAAGTAGGGGAAGAACCTTAAGTAAAGTGTGTTCACATTTACAAGTACCCAAAGCAAATACTTATTATTATTACAATGATCACTTATCTTAAAATTATAACATATACGAGTATCATTATTTATACGTAGTTTTGTACCTTCTTTGTTTTTCTATTTTTGAAACATTATATGTTATAAAAAAAAACATTTTACTTACGCATAAATAACTCAAAAATGTTTTGATTTTTGCAAGAAAATAAAATATCAGAATCAATCTTTACGTCTAGTTGATCAAATTCTTCCATTATAATTTGTTTCATCTCATTTGAATTACCAAAAATAAACCAACGATTTGGACTCTTGAATTTCTTACATAAATTCGCCTGAAAATCAAATGATAACATTGTACCAGGTTTTGCACAATATATTTTCATAATTGATAACAAAATATTATGCTTACGTTTTGTAAAATTTCATGAAAATTTAAACAACTTGCATCGATTATAACAAGCAATTTTTCGTTATAATTTCTATCATGACAAATTGCGTTTTTACGCATAAAACTTACTCTTCTTGCCGAACGTAATGCACGCAAATTGTTTATTAGCTTTAATTTTGCAGCTGAATAATAAGCAAAGGCATATTACTTTTTAAAACTTATAAAAGTTGCTATTAGATATATCTTATTACGATAAAAGATAAACAGTTTTAAATGAACATTAACATAAAGTGAGTTTTTGATATGTTTTTTAGACAGCTAAAATATTAACGTAGCAACTTTTAAAGCTTTGACATGAATAATCCTTACACTTATTCCAGCAGATTTCAGCCACAATATCAGTTGGTTTGTCAAAAGAATCAATGACATCTACAATCATTTTCATATCATTTTCAATTGTAGTGGATATATTATTTACTTTAAGAAGCAAAATAATAATTATCATTTTTATTAGCCAATCCATAGTTAAGAAATATTGTACTTCGATGATCGTTGAATTAAATCAAATGAATCACAGTATTTCAAACAGTGCTAATGGAAATTCATTTCAAAGTATAATTGTTGGTTTCGTCTTACAATTTGCATTTCCTATTCAATCGATAAAAGCCAGGGCGTTTCTCTTCCGACATAATTGTTCCCATTATCCTCTTGCTAATTAACGTCTCACGTGACTACATAAACAATGGCTTGCAATATCGAACATGCTTTCGAAATAATTGCTTGTCAATGTTAAAGATGCTACATACACGAATAAGTAATTATTGGAAGTGGTACAGTAACTTATATAAAAAAAAACAAATATTGACGCTTGAGTTTTGTTATTATTAAGAAGCATTTATTCTAATTAACTGTTATTTTTTGGCGACAACCTTGACTTTTTGCATTCATCAGGCTTGACACGGTTCGGAAATAGAAATAAAACACTTTTAAATATTGCAAGGTGTTATAATCTATGACAGAACTAAACTGTGATTCCAAAGTCGAATAATTGTTGCCACATGAATATCATATAAGAGATCTAAAATGTGCTATAAGTAAACGCTAGATACTTAATGTACATTAAATTGATATTCTTCCCCTTCGAAGAATACCTTTCAAAATATTAAGTTTATACCGATACAGGACCTCAATAAAAAGTATGAGGGTTGCTATGAGTATGCCATAGGACAGCACTAATATCGCTGGGTAGCAGTCAACCATGCTCACAGATACGAAGTTACCGTCATTTCCAGAACATGTAGGTCGACGTTCGTACAAGCGACGATTTTCTCTGTACTGCAGACCGTGTTCTATTATACGCTTTGTACTGGAAAATATATTATATTATAAGTATAATAAATATACTGCACAGAAGTCATAAGTCATGTAAAACAAATAGTTACTTGGCAAATAAAAAATAGTGTATTATGTTTATTTATTTATGTTTTGGAACTAGCGGTGGGCCACGACTTCGTGGGCGCGGAATTAAAAAAAGTAGTCCATGTTACGTACATCAGCTCCGTTTCAGTAAAAGTCCCTTCAAAATCGGTCTATTTGTTTCACAGATTACCCGGAAACAACACGGATTAGCGAATTGACAGACAGACAAATAGACAACATTTTTTTTTATATTAGCGGTCACTCTTTTTATTAATTCTATAGATTGATATAAAACATAGGTGTTGAATACCATTTTGGTTTGGAATTCCTCATGATGAAACGGCCATAATATAGATTAATAAATATTATTATTATCTACCCACCCTATTTTATACATTTCCAAATACGGAGTGTTTTTACGAACAGCGATCCAAGGGTCTGCTACTTGTAGATATTGTATTTCGTAAAGGCCGCACTTTTCCCCTTCTTCAAAATATTTTCCTACAAATTTGTAACCAACGCCGGTTTCCATATGGAAAGCGAAAAGTCCCTAGACGTGTCAAATAAAAGTTTTAAGTACATTCACCACGAAGAGCTATTTAAAAAATTAAATCGTTTCTACTCTGCAACTTATTTTCATACCTGACGTATTTTTTGAACTCCATCTTCCATTGACAAAAAACGCGGCGGTACACCGGGAGGTGCAATCTTCGTATCGTATATAGCTTTCCTAATCGGTTCAGACATGGTCTATAATTGGCAAAAGAAAAAAGAAGTGATATAAAATTTATCTCAGATGCGACATTTTTTTTGTCATCTTTATAAATATTTAATATCTGATATTTAAATATTGAAAAAGTGTAAATCAAACGAAATCACATCTAACCGAAAAATAATGTCTGTTAAAAGGATTATCATGGACACCAAATTTCAGTCGAGATTGTAGCAAATCTTCCAATGTTCTAATCCGTGATGAACTTGATTGTAAGAGAGCAACAATGTTCGCAGAGAACGAAGTATGCAGAAACAAAACCGTCAAGAAGAGCACCAGAAGCACCACACGACCCAAAGTACCTGCAAGAAATATCTTAAATCATAATTAATCAAAATTAATATCTTCCTGTTAAATCTTATGGTGTGTACAAATTGTAGAATTGTTATATCCTACTTCAAAAGTAAATAGCTAAGTATATAAATAAGATGTTAATTTGATACCTTTCAGTTCCACAGGGCTTCCCTGTTGACAAGTTGCTCCAAAAATTAATATGGCAACATCAGATGTATTTGCTCGTAATATTTCCGCTTCACTTATTCTCTGAAATTGATAATGGTAAGTACTAATAAAGATATTTCGAATAACAGTATTAAAGAGAGTTGATAGAAAGTGAATATAATTTAAAATAGATACATACCGAACCAACATCATGATCATTTCTCTTCCATTCCCAAAATGTGACACCAAATAATGCCAAGAATAGGAAAATGATAACTGCGCCTATACTGTACCACACCGAGTGACGAAATGATAAAATAAACAAATTGTTTTCGTAAGAAAGCTTCGGTTGTAGGAACACGAATTTTGATCTTGACGGTACGGGACTTGAAATGAACTCCAGAATAGGCAATCGAGCCAGCGTAAAGAACATTGGAGATCCTATAAAATTAACCCACAATTATATTTTCCATCTAATTATAAGATGTTTTATTCAAAGCACATTTTACCTCCGATTTCCACTTCACCTCTGGCGAGACAACCAGTCATACCGTTCCAAGTATTGTTAACTGGATAGCCCCAGGTATCGACAAAAACAAACTTCCTACTAGCATTGAGGAAATCCATTAAATGATTTGTTGCAAGCACGTTTACTTTTGTTATGGTATCTATGTGATCGTTACTGAAACATTATTTAGTTTGGTAAGGATTGAATTATCTAGCTGTTAGCTTTGATTGTCGTAATACTTGTATTGAAGCATTGTTGTCTCTTTTTATTAAAGAGAATGTGAGAGATGACAATATGATTGACAAGACGAAACCCGCAGTAAGATAATAAACAAATGATACTTACATGCCGTCACTGAGATGGTGCAAACTATCATTGTTAGTAATAACGTATGCAATTTTAATTTCATGTCTATTCAAATCAAGTCTTCTAATAGATGTTGGTTGAATCATGTTGACTGATTTTTGTAACCTATCTTTTAAGTTCCAAACACCGTAGAGCTCAGCTTTCCATTCACTATCATCAACAACTTTGTAAACTAAAATATTGTTTTTAATTACACAGATAACAATAAATATTTCTTGTATTAATTAAAATATTCAACTAAATCTGATCTGAATTCAATTACTTACTGAAGTATAATTCGTAATAATCGTTTCGAATATTTTTAATGTTCATCACTTCAATATCGGGATATATTTTTCTTCTTTTAATAGCTTCAGGTATAAAGATTTTTTCTCTAATAACTCTATTATTGTCGAAGATAATCCATCGATAAGGCGATCGGAAATATTTTGCCTTTTCACTCTGAATACCAAAATACAGTCATAAAACACTAAAATATTAAAAGCTTAAACATTCAAAAGGAAGTACCTTTTCCAAAAATATTGATACATTATGACATCCAAGATCAACTACAAATAGTGTGTGTATCTCTGTTAAATGGATTGGAGGGATAGTATTCAGATCGTCATGAAAATTCAAAGATATTTGTATATCATACTGTTTAAGATATTTAAACAATTTAGTTTTCTTATCTGCAACAAAAAGTTGATTTTTTAATTAAATACGTTTTAGCTATACATTTAAAAAAATATTTCCATTTCATAAGGCAGCGTTTTCTGAGCTAATCTAGGAACTTAAGTAAAAATTAAATTTTCCGCAAAACAGTCAGTTCCTTTTCAGTAATAAAGTAACATAATTTTGTTGTGCTAACAAGATGAGCTGCATAGTACAGCTATAATCGATTTAGGTCCATCCATCGCTTGAATTACATCGCCAATTATTATTTCTTCATTTTGCAAAGCGTACACATTTAGTAAAAATAAACTTATTAAAACCAGAACTGTCTTCATAGTAAGCGAAGATTGAATGATGTACTTACATAAAATGTGGTATCGTCATGCTTTGAAATAAATTGTTTGATCGCAAGTAAATTGTAGGCAAATTTCCGTTCAAATGTTGCTTCAAGTAGCCTGTTTGAATTATGCATATCGAAATTGCACGACAGCAAAAGTTTTATATCTATTCTACGTAGGTAAGCTTTTGCTTTTGGTTTCGTGACTTTAAAATGATAGATATTTTAATAAAACTGCTTTTTGTTCTTAGTTTACACTATTTATATTACAATCATTTGAGTTTTTTAAATTTATTTTGTCATGAATAATCTGAATACTAGTTGAATAAAACTACTTAAAATACGAAAACAGTTCTTATCTCAATGCTATTTTGTGATGGAATAAACATCGACAGATGAATATGGCATAGTTCATTAGACCCTATAAATATTTACTTACCCTACGACGTCACAAAGACATTATGAAATATGAGGCGTTTTTTGGAATTAAAGTAAACAATTTACTAGTAATTAGTATCTTAAAGAAGCATTGACATTATCGTTATGTTTAATTGCTTTTTGTTTACTATGTAGCATCGGATAAGTAATTTTCCATAATTAGTATAAACTATAGAGTTGGTTACTGCATTGTATACACTAATTATGCCCTTTGAATTTTATCAATGTACACATAGTTAAAATAAATGTTGTATACAGGGCAAGAATATCATATCACAGTTGTTTTGTGTTCGTGGTTGAGTGTACATGTTATTGATATAATAATATTAAAATAAATTACACAAATAAAAGACAAAAATTCTTTAAAAAGTTAAGGATTATAATGAAATTTTTGGAACATTTACTTTTATCTATTCAAACTGATAGTAAATCTAATAGAAAATGTGACGACTCGAGTGAACATTCGCCCTTACTTCCTTCAAATAAGAAACCATTATGTCAAAGAGGTGAGTAGCTTAGTGGTTACATATATTTTTTATCTATGACACAATTGCAGTAAGCTTCAATGAGCGAGTTCAAGTAGAACGTTATGATCTCAATAAAAACTACAATATTGAGGACAGTTGAGAGTTAATAAATATTAATAATTAAAAGGAATCTCAAGACAAATAAACAGTTAATAGAGGGTATCGAAAGCCAAGAAGAATTATATTAGAATGGTACAGTCAGAAGACCCAAATGTTATAAATAAACTGTTCATAACAGTGTGTTAGTTAGTAATCCACGCAATAGACGGTTTCGATGTTGCGAAGTATGCTGTAGCACCCCGGAAAAACTTCTAAAATAAATCTTAAAGTGACGACCGCCAGACAAACGGTATTAAACAATTGGTGACAGTTATTTGATAAGTAGGCAGTGACGTCATCATTAGAAAAGGTCGGATACAATTTATCTGCGTGAGAACGACTTCGATGTCAATATTTATTAATAACCAATACATAAACAAAGATAAAGTACTCGCAGTATTGGGTACACGTTAAATTTTCCATAGTACTTGAATGAAATGTAATATGTTATTTTTCTCCGGTTCTTCTTGAAAATCATAATGAAAAGAATAGCAAATTATTTGTTTCTTTACCTAAGAATCGGATTTCATAGAGTCGTCTTAAATCTAAATTATGTACACAATTCCATTGTGCATTTTTGTACAATATTAGTTCTATTTCTTATTTTTTATGTTATTTTATTAAAATAGATTGCGTATAATAAGAATAACATTAAAAAAGTTTCTATTATGATTGAATACAGATTCTATTATGTAAAAAAAATAATTGAATTTGCTCTCCACTTCACCGTGGCGAGGGACGATGATCTGGATTTAAATTTAGAATGAGGAAGCGATGTTTTTGTATTGCATTTGGCATTTGCCAATCACTGCCGTAATTACACAGAGGTTGTTAATATATTAATTGAGCCTCCAACTAGAACCCTAACATCACGTGCTTTTGTGGTTCCATTTACCGCATGATAAGCAACATTTACTTATTCTACCCTTAATATTAACATCACGATTCATAAATATGAAGGGTAGAATGTAGACAACTGTGTTTAATATATGTACAGAACTTCTCTTTTAGGCTTGATTATGTTTTGAAGCTCAATTACTATGCAGATTTGGTTATACCTACTTCTGCACTATTTGCCAGCTTGACAATGTACCGAGATCAGAGAACCATTTAAATTGGTTCATTAGTTATAAAGTTTACTTGACACAAATGATCATCCCTCTTTTATATTATTCATTCAAATTATTCATAATAAGTATACAAAAATATATCAAGCGATTCCATGTCTATTGTGTATTAAGATAACGTAGCACATCCCCCTGTTCTATGATGTTTGAACAATTTCCTTATTCCTTTATTTAATTTTCAATGAAGGTGTATCAAAAATTTGTTAGTCTCTATTCGAATGTAATAACAAAGAGTTCATTAAAATTTAAAGATTCTAATTGTTGATTCAATTCGGATACCGCCTGCTATACGCTTTGCAATATGTAATGTATCCGGAGGTAAATAATTCCGTTTACCTTGAAATTCTTACGATTTAGTTGCCAAAATAAAATATATGTCACAAATATTTCATTGACCGACACGTTTTATTATTTTCTTTTTGTTTATTTTTAATTTATTCACAATAATGTTAACTTTTTTTTTATTGACTATTTACCAAGCTCTGTGGTCGGCTTTCTGAATCCATCCTTCCCACTTCATTCTGTTAACATCTTCGTCTGAGACTTGGCACTCAGTCATGTCTTTAAGCACTACATCTTTCTTTGTTAGACAGTAACAATAACTAATTACGCTTGTAGTAACGAAATGTTTACATGCCAATCAGTACTTATCACAACATAAAACTTTACCTTATTGTGTTATAGCTCTCACAATTTCGTTTATATCTTGGCTTTTTCCTTGAGGAATAAGATAAAACGGAAAATATGAATGTATGTTTATCCGATTATTGGTCTCACTTTTTGGCCTTCCCCAGAGACAATTTTTACAACTTATCCTCGTCATGCTTCGGATCTACAGCGAAATGTTTATACTAAGTGACGATCTTCAATTCTAAGCTCCAAATTGAAAAGCTTTGTATTGCTCACTATCTGATAAATATTATAGATTAAACAATAGTTTCAAATATTTTTAAAGGACACGTACTATATGCAAAGTCGGTCACATTAGGATCTAATCTAACCAAATTAAATCTGACCCCGAGTCTTGTGATGTTTAAATCATGTTTTAACACATTACCGGGAGCGGTGTTGTTAATATGTAGTGGTTAGTCCGAGTACGTGTGGTCGGCTCGCAGCCAGGCAGTCTGCGCCGGCTTTCCATACAAGACCGGTTAGATAGCCCGCTATTACCTACCACAGAACCAATTAGATGAGATGTTTTCAACATTACAGCCAATTTACTTCGACTTCGATTACCTTTTAACATGCTGCTAAAAAAATCAATCAGGTTTTCAAATTTTAAGGCCCTTAAATAATATCGGTCCCTTACAGCGGACTCTCGTACCCTTAACGCAGGACTAGTCAGTTGTGTAATAATATATATTTGTCATACTGGGTGGATGTTAGAAATTGTCACATTCGATGTATGTGAAGCAACTCTCGTTGTTGAATTAAATCAAAGACATGGTAATACCCGACTAGTTAATTCTAATCAGTTCGTATCTTAGCTTGCACTAGCGGCGAGTGAAAGGCGCGGCCACACTATCGGTATGCGCAAACGCTTCCACATGCGACACTTTGCTGCGCTAAATACTTTGAATTTAAAAACGTGCCTTGATTTGAACAAAGCCTTATACGCAACTTGGACCTATAAAATCTTTTCATTTAGGCA